GTAGGTAAGTAGACAGGTAGTAAGGTAGAGAGGGAGTTAGGTAGGTAGACAGGTAGGAAGGTAGAGAGATAGGTAGGTAGGAAGGAAGGTAGCAAAAGTAGAGAGGGAGGTAGGTAGGAAGGTAGAGAGGGAGGTAGACAGGTAGGAAGGTAGAGAGAGGGAGGTGGGTAGACAGGTAGGAAAGTAGAGAGGGGGGTAGGTAGGTAGACAGGTAGGAAGGTAGCGAGAGAGGGAGGTAGGTAGACAGGTAGGAAGGTAGAGAGAGAGGGAGGTAGGTCGACAGGTAGGAAGGTAGAGAGGGAGGGAGGTAGGTAGACAGGTAGGAAGGTAGAGAGGGAGGTAGGTAGCGAGAGAGGTAGGTAGGTAGAGAACGTGGCTTATTACAGTCCTACGACAGCCACAGATACCAGATTTTTTTTTTTTGTTTTTTGTCGGAGCCTTTGATTCAATGATTGCTGTCAGGATGTTATGATCATTTTAACAAATCAATATCAAAAATATTTTTGAAGAAGATTATAAACCCTGCCTTTAAAGGTGCCTCGGCATCAGGCGCAGAGAGGCGTGACAGTGGAGGTATTTGACGCCCTGGGACTGAGAACAGACTGCACACCCTGTGTGTTATTATCTGGGGGTTACACCTCCATGTGTTGATACCCAGAACATAGCAACAAGAGAAGAAATGAAGAAAGTCCAGCCAGAGGACAGGGTCTCTGTAGAACCAGACACCACCACACAATTCTACTGGGTCAGAAGTGATGACTGAGAGGGTTATTTATGAATCAGATATAGAGATCAGAATCATGGGGAAACAGCTAACCTGGCTCCCCTCTTAGGGGCCGTGTCCCCCAAAGCGTTTTTCCCCAGTTGAAAACGCCCAGCTGAGAGCTTTGGTTGCATCTGATTGCTATATTACAGAATATATACAGTATATATACTATCCTTTGTTCAGATTGAGATCAATTTTATAATCCTACAAAAGGAAATGTGTTTGGTCCAGTGCTCTAGACATGAGGACACCATAAAGTCCTCAGTAAAAACAATAAAAACAAGACCATAACATACACCTTACAAAACACATTTGCTCACATCTCTTTGCTAGGCTATTTGTGCCGCTCCTCCTCAACTGTGATTGGACAGGTGGGTAAAAAGCAACAGTGAAGAACGCAGCGTTTTTCCCAAAGTTGAACATTTTTGAACTCTTGGCGACCAGAAAAAAAACCCAAACGTTGAGCTCTATGCTCAGAACAGACTCTAATCGCCTCTTGACTCTGCTGCCATTGCTAATAATTAAAAAGAAATGTCCTCAAGAAAAAAGGTTTTGGTACATATGACCAACACAGTGTAATTTAAGACAGAGCCAGGCTAGTTGTTTCCCCCTGCTTCAAGTCTTAATGCTAAGCTAGGCTAGCCACATGCTGACTCCATCTCTGAACACGCAGACATGAGATTGATATCCATCCTCTCACACTAAAAGAAAGCAAGTACACATATTTCCCAAAATATTGAATTTCTTTATGTACTTTTAAATTCGGCCCCTGCTGGCACTGATATCTAAGGAGGCACACACATCACTTGATATACGTATCATTGGTTCCGGAGCATCACTCTGCTTAAGCTCCATAATGGGGGCTGTAGGTGAGAGACATTTTGTCTAGTAGAGAACACAAGTTGAAGAGTTTCTTACAGTGTTGGGTATATAGAAAACCCTGTTGTTTCAGGTACTGGTGACGAGAAGAAATATGGAAGTCCAGTTTGAGTTCCAGACGCATGAGCTTGAATGTTTATCAGACACCAACAAACTGCTCAGCGGTTGATACTATGAGTCAGGATCTCTGCAGTACAGTTCTGTCCTCCATCTGGACAAGCACAAGTTAAACCGTAAAATGATGACATTCCTGCAAGCGGTTACATTGCTGCAAAAGTAAAGCCAGGTTTCAGAGCTTTGCAGAGTGACCCTGCTGGAACCCTGTGTGTCGGCACGACCAGGGGCTGTATTCTTCCTGGTTCTAAGAACTGTGACGTTTTCTAAGAATTTAAGACAAGAGCCTGGTAAAGATAAATGTTATTCACAGAGCCACTTACCCTTTAAGATAGCTAAGGTGAAACACTGTTAGGATTAGGGAGGAGCACTTTAAAGAGTCTTAATCATGGGAGATTACGGGATATTCTCCAAACGCTGAAACGCCGTGTGTTAATAAGCCACTACCGATTAATTCATGCAGGGATTATGTTTGTAGTAGGCAATATGAAAATAATTGCTATGTTTATGCTCTCTACCATGATAGAGAGCTAAACAGATTTTTCAAGTCAGTTGTGATGATATTTACGATTATCCTGTCAATGGAAATTCACCACAATCAACGTATCTTGTTTTTTATCGCAATCGTCGATATAATGCTACATCGTCCCAGTTTGTGGTCCATCTCGTTAACCAACACTATAATGAGCTGACCAACACAATGTATTTAACATTCAGAACATTAATATCTCATCAAACACCCATCATCTATATAAAGATATGGTGGAGTAGAGAACGGCACTCTGCCGTTTTTTGCAGCTCTCAACAGCCGACGCCATGTTGAGAGCTGTGTGGACACGATAAAGACGGCCTCAATTTTGAATTTAGCAGCTTTAAAGACTGAACACAGCAGGGATTTACCAAACTGCTATTTGAACAACTCAACATTTACTGACAGTGTGCCAGGCCTCCTACACATCAGCTCTGCTTAATCATACATTATTACTGTTCCTGTGCTGTTTACCTGAGGAGTACTACTGCTAATACTACTGTCTACATTCATGCTGTCTGTTTTGGGAGATGTTCCTAAACGACCTCCACTCTGACTCATAGAAGGGAAATGACACACCGTCCAAAACACAAAAGTGCCCACACTCAGCTGTGATATCACTACGGGATGGTTAAGAGAAGTGAGTGAGGAGTCAGCAGGAAGTCAATGGTAGAATAAAAAGTTCTCAAAAACAAAAGAAACAGTTCTCAGCTCCAGCAGCAGACTGAGCTGTAGTGATGCTCCAGACAGGAAGCAAACGTCCTCTCAGCCTCCCTGTAGTTCTTCCACTATGAGCAGATGTCAGAGTCTATTAGCAATAGTGAGAACAACAACATGCACTGCGGACGTATGCACGTCTATGAATTATATATGGAAATAAGGTTGAATATCAGCTAAGGCTTCCTTTAAGCCAGGGGAGAGCAGAGTGTACAACGTCTGTGTTTGTCTTTCAGGCCAAGCTTCGTCTGGAGATGGAGATGGAGCGTCTACGTCACACTCAGTCCAAGGACATCGAGAGCAAAGACGATGAGGTGGAAGAGATCAGACAGTCCTGCAGCAAGAAGGTAAGGACGTGTTCATGCACACATTTTAATGTGTGACTTAAGTTTGCAATCACTTTAGCTGTTTGTTGTACAATCATGATTGAATGTGAGGGAGAGACAGGTGTAACGTGTGCTATTGGGAGCACAAAGGTAAAGACTAGCCGCAGAGACGGTGATAGAGAGAAACAGTAAGAAGACAGATACTGAGACAAATGTGACACTGAAAACTCTTTGTGACAACACCAAAGAATACTGCAGTTAATGAAATGCTGAATATAAAGTCACTTTACAGGAGCTCTCTGTTCAGCACCACCTTACCAACCATGTTACCTTGCTGCTCCTCTCAGATGTCTTCTGCTGGAATTAATATTTCTTCTGAATTTGAATGGTTCACAATTAGGTCCAGATCAGTGCCAAATGACTGAAGCATCCGATCAAATGCTTATTAAAGAGACAGGGTAAGAACTTAGCGGAGGCCTTGATATCCTGACTTTTAGTTTCTAGTATGGGTCAACCTCCAAAAACTCTGCAGTAATGTATTTGTTCTAGCCAAGAACAAGACTAATTATTTTTCTCTTTTATTCAGTCATGACGTCTTTGTTGGACTGCCATTGTTTGCTATTCTCGCATATAAATTGCAGTCAAGTTTAGCGCCATTGCTTTCTAGACATGTGCAACATGTTTATGTCTTAGTTAGCTGGAGTTCATACCAATTCTCTGAACCTGGTGGTTACCATAAACACCCTACAAGTAGCTGGGGCCTATATTAACTCAACGATTGAGGGGCCTTTATTGAAAATAGGCTTTTATTAGTGACAGGCCAGTATTTCTAATCCTCCCCATTTTAGAATGAGACACATCCCCTGATTTCCTGTTTTAATGTGCTGTTGATTCTGTTTGCTGTTAATACAAACTCAACTCTATGTTAACCTGTTGCCTCGGTCAATTCAGCATAATGTACATTTCCACAACACTAATTCTGTCAGTATAACAGAGGACTGACGTCATACTCACCACTCTGCTGCTCTCACATTCTCATCTCTTCCAGAAATACAGTTTGTATTCACTTCAATTTCCAGCGTTGTCCTTACTTGATTGCTATCAAGCTACTGCCGATGAAACACAACACTTCCTGCACAGATATGTCACATTAAAAGCCTTCCAGCAGCTCAAGGAGCATAGTCCCTCCTTTTCGTCGAGGCTTTTCATTTCACCCGTATACAGGAAGTGTAGGGTTTAACCGACAGTAGCTCTGCAGTAAGAAGGACTGGAAATAATCATTCAATTAAAACAGTGTTAAAAAGAAGAACTCTGAGCAGCAGAGTGGTTTGTATGACTTGTTGTATGTTGTGTTGTTGCATTGATTAATAGGTGCTGTGGAAATGTATGTTACAATGAGCTATTATAGTATACCTTTGCCTTTAAACGTTTATTTGTTCTTGTTTACGGCTTTTATTGAAGGATTTTAGGGTATTTGTGGTATGTTTCGTAACTGGCCCTCATAGTACACACCACACACACATACATATACAAGACAAACACTAGGCATACAAAGAACTTCCAACTGTATTTATAATTGTATTTGTTGGATTAAGATCCATCCTGTGAATTATTTGACTCTTTCTTGAGTCACATTTGTGTATATGTCAGCATAATCTGCCGTGTGATGTCAGTCGGGTAGATGCAGTGGAGTAGAGGAGGGCTGTGTGTTGTATGCGTGTGGGTGGCTGAGTAAGTGAGTGAGTGGTAGGTTTGCTGTTGGAATCTGGGTGCCCATGCTTGTTCCACATCGTCTCCACACTGCATCTTCCAGTGACATGTCCATAGTGATGTACTGTTTGATGATGGATAGTACTCATTAACTGCATGAAGGAAGCTGACCAATAGTAATGTGTGTGTAAATAGTGGACATTGTATTATTCAACATAGAACCTTGGTCATTATGCATCCAAAGTGTATGAACATACAAGCTACTGTAGACTGGATGGTGTTGGAACAGACAATGTGGTGATAGGATACTGGTTTAGTCTTCTAACGTGGGATAGATGTGTACTATAGTCCTTGCCCTACTATCTGTCCAGCTAAACTCTACTGAAGTATCTCCATTGATTTCCATGTGTTGCAGACATGTGTTGCAGACAATACATGTCTGCAACACACGTGTTTCTGTACCCCTGTGTGATCAGACTGATCTATGAATGTACTCATTGTTGAGTGTTTTTTCGTGTGTCCAGCTGAAGCAAATGGAAGTCCAGCTTGAAGAAGAGTACGATGAGAAGCAGAAGGTGCTGAAAGAAAAGAGAGAGCTGGAGTCCAAGCTTCTGTCAGCACAGGACAAGGTACCTACACTGTATGATGTGATGGAGCCCAGTCCTGTTGGAGCTGGAGCACCATCTTGGATCAAACATGTAAAAAAACACCTTGGTCCTTTGGTGTGATTTCCTGCAGAATTCCTCTTCATGGAGAAGTCAGTCACTCCAGATTAATAGTTGTGAAATGGTAAATCAAGAGACATTCATCTTTCAACAGGACTTGATCTGTATCTGCTCATTCTTCTGCATATTCACAGCACATTATATGCACATTGGGTATGTGCAGGGTTATATAGTACCAGAATGTTAGGAAGGTTATTAGTTGTAGAGCTAGAGCAGTACAGCTGTCGATGTGTGTGGGTGGAGATGTGGGTGTTTCATATGATTGAAGTGAGTCATTTAAACTGACTCAATCAAATATTTATCCGACTTCGCCGACTGCAATTAGAGAGCCATCAGCATCGATTAAGTTCAGACTTTGAAAACCAGGAAACAGAGGAGGATCCTGCTGCAACCAAACCAGTCCAAATAAATTCATCTGTGATGACAGCGTACAGGATATAACCAATGTGTACACTTTCCCGGTGGAGTTTTCTTGTACTGACATAACCCAACATGAAGGGGTTTAATACGGGGTTACGGTTCAAAACTCCAACAGAATTTCTTTCTTGCTTTTTTTGGATGTACAAGCTAATCAGAAAAGGTTACCCAACTCCCGATATCGTTTCTAGAGTTGCAACAATTTATTCATTAGTCAATGGATGGAGAATTTATTTTCATTTATTTATAATTAAATAACTTGTATTTTATATTTTATATTCAAACTATGCTTGAAAGTCAATGTTTGACCTTGTGTCATTATTTTGTCAAACTATGATGTAAATGATTTCAAAATATGTAGATTTCCAGTCTTCAGTCTTACTCTTATACATCTGATCTTTAACAGTAAATAAGACCTGATGTTAATTGTCAGTAATGTTAAGAAAGCAGTAAGACAGACCTGTATTTTTAATAATGATTGGATGACAGAATCACACAATAATGGTTTTCCATCTATAAGCCGTACTCTGTCAGTAGACAAAGTGTGTTGATTGAACTCAAATGGAAGTGTGATAAAATGTAGGGATTGGTCCTTTAAATGGTAACATGGAGCGAGTCCATGGCCAATCCTTGATGTATCAGTTGAGTCACCAAACCTAACTATCCGTTTCCCAGGTGAGAAGTGGTGACATGGAGACTGAAAAGCGTTTGAGGAAGGACCTGAAGAGAACCAAGGCCCTGCTGGCTGATGCTCAGATCATGTTGGACCACATAAAGAACAACGCGCCCAGCAAGAGGGAGATCGCTCAGCTCAAAAACCAGGTACCAGCATCATAAGCACTCGGGTGAAAGGCCTTTACACGCTGGGGCATGTCAATATACCTTTTCCAAATGTTGTTTTTGTCAAAAGTACTTTCACACAGAATACAAATATTACACAGACGAGTACTATCCAATCAGAGTTGAGCGGGTCAGGACTTCGCCATCCTAGGAAAAAGATACAAGGATACTTATTAGAAAACTGCATATGCATGTTTATCCTTCAGAATAACCGTCATTTTAATATTTGCTGCCATTTTTTTTGGAACATGGGCGATTTTTCGGAGCTTTCACAAAGCCAATAAAGGCATCAACCAACCAAGTTTTGCAAAACGTGTTGCGTTGCGCCTCGATCAATTCAGAGGCTCCGTATTCAGAACCAAGATGGCAAACTGTATTACTTCTTTCAACCAACTTAACAAAGGCTGCACGTCCCAGATCCACTCCTTCTATTCAGTCACACCTTTTACACGCGTATAATATTCACAGGCAAATATTTAGCAGTTTCCTGTCGTTTTTCCGTCACACCCCCGGTATACAGGCCTTTATTCAGTACAGCTGTATGCAGCTCGCGTTTCACTCGCATATAACCATGGATAGTTTACTGAATGGGTCTACCGGACACAGGCCTAGAGGCCCCGCTCCAGATTCTCTCTTCAATTTTCTTGTTGGAAAGTCGATCAACTACACGAGACGCGAAGCGTCCTGTTGTGTCTCTTTCAGTCAGGGAGTCTTGCTCTCCTGTAGGAGGGGTGAGGGCCCGTTGTCTCATGATCCATTAATGAATGAATGCGACCTGACTACTGATACTACTACTGCTCTTTATTTCTATTCAAGTTACAACTCACGAACAGTTTGTGTCCAAATAACAGCTTCATATGTAAACCACCGTTCAATGAATTTGAAGTGATGCCCATGACAGTCATTTATAAATGCATAACGTCATAGTTGCGTATGATTGTCTGAATTCTAGATAGCTGGTTCCCAACCTCTCTGACTTTGACCTTCATAGCGAAGCAATGACCACACACAGTCGCACGTTGCAGATGTCTCAGCTGTGACTAGTTTACCTGAGAGTTTTGGTTTTAGGCAACAATATTTTTCCCTAGTGGGGCTTCATAGTTTGGAAACCTCTGGGAGTAAGAATTATTGTATTAGAATCATTTCTATAACACTATGGAGTGGGACCACAATCAATTGATAGTATGTTTAAGTGATTGTTCACATGATTTACATTTTGTTACTGAACTAATACATTTCTATCCACTTGTGTCCGTTTCAGCTGGAGGAATCTGAGTTCACCTGCGCGGCTGCAGTTAAAGCTCGCAAGTCCATGGAGGTGGAGATTGAAGATCTGCACGTTCAGATGGAGGACATCTCCAAAACAAAACAGGCGGTCAGTACAGCTCTCTGGATCCTCATCTCGGCCTTTAAGCACTTTCCTGCAGTAACACAACCACAGGTGGCATTTTGATCAAAGGTATGATTACTCGTACTGCAGCAAATAGGAGGAAAAATATCATCAGTGGTGAGGACTTAGTTGTATTTTTGAGGCTTTTAGAAGGCTGCACCATCTGTGGTGGTAGCAGGACAGCAGTAGATCTGTCAAAGAATTGCCTTTAGCCAGAGATAAGGGGTTAGAGCCCCCCCCGCTCTTAATTTTCCCTGCAAAAACATACACTTCTCTTTTTCTCTGTCATTACCTCTTAAGTTTTACTTCTTTTTTCTTTTCTTTGTATCTCAGCCTCTCCCAATCTTTTTTGACCTTTATATTTTTATTTCCTTTTTGCAGGACTTTTCTCACTTTAAGCCTTGTTCCCATGGCGATCTGGTTCCACATGTCAGTCAAACTGCCTTCTTTCCTACTTCTCCCCCACATTTCTCCTAGTATTCATTTACCCTCAATCTTACTTTCTGTAATCTCTTTTTGCTTTCTCTCTTCATCGTTAAAAAGCAATTACTGAATTTTGCTGAAAAGTTTGCCTGCATGTTTTATGAAGGTGAATATTGTGTCCACAGTGAAGTGAAGGGTAAAGATAATTGAGTTGACACAGCTGCAGGTCAGCAGGAATGGATAGATAGAGGAGGCTGTTCCCTCAATTTCATTTGTTTGTCATTTTTTTCTTGTACCCTCTAACAGAAAGATGTAGCACATGAGGATGTGTATGTGCACATACTGAAAATGTTACTATCAGCTCTTTTCTAAAAGTGTTTTTAAATGAACTGGGGAACAACTAGCTGCTCTTAGAATGTCCTACATATGAGCAGCATTATGGAGTCTGGATTTTGCCACCAGAATACATTACACTACTGTACATTACATTACAGTCATTTAGCAGACGCTTTTATCCAAAGCGACTTACAATTCAAATTCTATCACACTTCTACGCTGTAGGCACAGCTACGGGAGCAATTTTGGGGTTAAGTGTCTTGCTCCTTTTTGGTTTTTAACTACAATTATAATCAATTGATGCATTTCATTTAAGAATAACTAAACCTCCAAACCACTGTTTTTAAGCTGAAAACCAATGTATATGGGCATTTAGTAGCGTAGTTGACATTTTAGTGCAAATGGTAAATGGACTTGCATATGTATATGGCAGTGGCGGGCCGTGCATTTTATACCTAGGCCTTCACTTTTGTCCTACAGCTGAAATACCACCTTATAACCACATGATGGTGCCACAGATATTGTCAGTTTCTAAGGCTGTAACTATGTACGTATTAAATGTACCTAACGTTCGGTACGAGACTTGCAATACGTTTGAATAGTACTAGAGCATCTGGAAAATGCAGAAGCTTATATTCAGGAAAATATAATGTTTTCTGCGCTCATGGAGGACAGTGGTTCTCAGCTGGTCTGACTGTGGGACCCACCATCACTCCTTAATGACAAGTCGCGGCCCAAAGTGATCGTCTTATGATTTTACTTTCACAACTTGAGCATTGTACGTACTGCTCTGCAGTGTCTTTCCTCGTCTCAGTCCCCTCTGTCATGGTGCATCTCACTCAGTCAGAATGCCCATATTTGATTGGCTGAGCTGCATCACGTGATGTGATTCACTACCCGACATGCCTCTGCTCTTAAGCTTTGTTTCACGATAGTCACGTGCTCGCCCACTGACCAATCACAGCACACTCTGCACCTCGCGGCAGACACTGAGCTGCTCCAATGCTGACGTCATTATAGGCCGGCGAGCAGGATCTGATACGTCAAAGAATACGCCCAACATGTCAAACTAAAGATCTGATTGGTTGAAGAATATGACAATCAACAATATCGTCCCCGTTCACTTAAACTGCACATGGATGCAGGCCTCCGTCTGCAGGCCTCTGGCCTCTGTTCTTACCTAGAGACACAGAGGTGAAATCTGATTGGATAAAAGCTTTGTGATTCTGTTTAGGCCAGCAGAGAAGGCTTTGCAGGCCCTGACGGCCCACCACTGGTATACGGCCCTTCTAGTCATCAGACCATTCAAAGTATTTGAATTCTAATAATTGTGTTATAAATTGAAACCAGAACATTGTAATATAATTTTGCTATTGGCTGATCTGGAGCCATGTATAATAGAGACATCTTTGACTCTGTAGAGAGGAGTATTAGAGAAGAGTAGCAGTTACCCTTTCAATTACCCTTGAATTGCCTATGCTTTAGTCCTTTTACAGCACTCTTACCAACCATAATCATAAGAAAGGTCGCCATGCTAGCGATTAGCAATTAGCATAGGCTAATTAAAAGGGTAACGGCAATCATGAACAAAAAGTTAAAAACCATGAAGTCTGGCTACATGTTGAAATATAGTAGACCAAAGCAGCAGCTCGTGTGGTGCTTTTTATGACCCTCAACTATAGCATGAAAGCATGATGGAATTAGCAAGCTAGCTAGCTAACTAGCCAGCCACTTAGTGAGTGAAATTGAACACAATGCTTCAACACACAGCGTGGGAAAGCACACTGCTATCACCAGATAATCAGTGCTGAACACTGATTCACCACATGTTGTAATGTGCTGAATGCTGAACTTCAAGTCCACAGAAAGGAGAGAAAGGGCCTGTATGCTGTGATTGTTACGCTACAATGGTTATGGCAAATGAGCCGACGATAGACGCGACTAGGTGTGACTTAAACTTAAGGCATACGTTAAGTGAGTATAAGACACGAGTCTCCCACTCCCATCCAAATAAAATCTCCACGCAGCTTATGGTCCTGCATTCTTCATTTTGAGGTTGTTTATTGGTCAAGCCATGCATGGCTTCATCTCAGCTATCATTTTGGTTTTGTATCAGGCTGTTTGGAGAAGCTTAGCAAGTATTCCACGCAAATGCATTCTAAGGTTTTCCTCAAAATACACGATCCATTTAGTAGAAGGTGAAAAGGATAAGAAGAACGTGTAACCTGCTGTTTGTTTTGCAATGGTGTGTTTGAGGACGACCTCTGCAGCAAACATCCAGCCTGCTGGGGAAGTAAGAGGCTGCTACGATGACAGAAATGATTATTACATAAATGGAGAGTTTTGCAGCCACATCATGCATTGCAATTCAACCAAGATAAAAATCCTGCAAATAACATTTCTTTCAGATGGTTTTCCGTTTTTACCATACTCCCGCCGTTCTATCGCCATCATTGCAGTGTTTTGAGAAAATTGTCTCGCATGTTTTCGGTAGCTTTATTTTTTCACAGAGAGCCACGGCAACCTGAGAGGAAATACAAAACAAAGAGCAGAGCAACGTACTTGACAGCCTATTGGTAAATGTGTTAAATGAAAGTTTGATGCTTTTGACTGTCACGTCTTTTCTAGCATCCATCACAAAATGTTTCCCACGCTGCAGAGTATGAGCTGCCGTCAAAGCTTTGATTAGCACTCAGTGAGGCCAACGGTGAATTTAAAAAGGGAAAGTGTGATATGTAAATGAATTTGCCCCAGATTCCACATGGATATTTTTAGTCACTGAAGTGCACCTTGATACGTCTCAGCAGTGGGTGGTTTTAAAATAGACGAGCAATAAATAAATCCAAATCCTTATTTTGAAGCTGTCTTTTGATTCTGTGATTTGAGTTAATTCTTCTTCCTGAATGGACTGTTTCTTAATTAGATAGATGCTACAGTGTGAGCTCGACCTGTCCCTGACTCCTCAACTACTCGCTATGTGCAAATGGATTCATTATCCTTTTCACATCGCCACATTAGTCATCATTTATTAATCCATATCCCTGAACTAACAACCTCTCTCCCTCTTTTCTATATTATCCCAGTCACTACAGAAATAGGATTACTTCAGCACAGTCCCTGCCCTCAGCTGAAGGTACGAGGCAGTTGCTGCTAGCTTGTAGCCTCTAGTTGGATATCTTGGTTATGACTGGGGCCTTATATAACCCCCGTTGGGCCCTGTGATAAGAGGGGCGCTGTAGGAGCTAATACGAGCTCTCCTCTGGGAAAAAGCACACACTAAGTCAAAGCACAGCTCCAGACTATAACTCTGATTTATAACTATTTATGGAGATAGTGCAAGGGAAAGTGTAGATTCACTTTATATATGTATACAATGTAAACACCTGTGCCTAGAAAATATCCCTACAGTTTTATAGATTATCTAAAATCAATATATAATATAATATATTATAATATAATATTACTGTGTGATGGTACAGTGTCAAGAAGGCGTGATATGGGAAGAGAAAAATAATCTATATGCATTATATGCTTTTGAATTTATATAAATAATGATGGTAATAATAATTTTACTATTACTATATAATTTTACTATTAGAACGCAGCTTTAAGGTACAACATTAAATATAAGACACAAAAAGATGACACATAAAGCACTATATTAATGCAAGCCAAAAAAAAGCAGGGCTGTTTGCATGCTCCTTTATAAAACTTAATTAAAGCAACTATAGCAGTGCATTGTTACCACCATGACAAACAGAAATTTGAGTTATTCCCAGAAAATGTTCTCGTTTTAATGAGATATTTTCAACGATATTTTAATTTTTATTGCTACATATCAAATGATTCCATTTTGACAGTAAAAAGAAAAGTCTTGTTATAATCTCGTTTTTATCACAAAACCTTCTGCATCATCCATCTATCAGTTGATAAAGTGAAGTCTTGTTCCAACGTTAAAAGGTTAGATCAAGAATCTGAGCTATTATTCTATTTGTGTCATGGTAGGCTGCTATTGTTCTGCTGCTATTCCACTGTTCTGCTATTGTAGAGAAATGGGATTCTTCAACAGGACTGGTATAAAATGTGCTATCTGTATCAGTGTTTGTGTTCAGTTATTCAGTCGATGTTGTGAGATGCTTTTGGCCTTGCTTCTGCATTGTGTGTGATCTTTGTCCTTACATTTTATTAGTGATCCTTTTTGATGGTTACCCAGTCATTTTCCTGATTGTTTTTTTCCACTGGCAGCATTGCACACAATAGCACATGCATGTTATTTGAGTGCTGCTGCCCAGTGTGTTTGCTAATACACAAAGACATGTACTATATAAACCTTTGACTTTTAACTGTACACACAGTGTCATGACTGTAAATCTGAGAGTTTATTCTGAGCTGTACATTTAGTGATTAGCAGCTCTTGTTTGCGGATCTGGAAGGTTATGGTAAATGATATTGTTCTCCACTAAAAGCTTTTCTAACAGACGCTGCTCTGTGATGATGTCCCATTTTATGCTTGATAGATGTTACTGTTCACAATCATCTGTACAATCAAATGATAAATATTTGATTCATAAAGCAAAATGAATGAAGAGCTTGAGCCTGTGTGAAGCACAGATCCTATTTGTGGGATGTCTTTTCTCTCCGTTGTTGGTTGGGGAACTAGCTGCCACTTCATGTCTAATATGCTCTCACACAGCTGGGCTGATGTATTTACGAATCTCTTTGATTTTCTTGGTGTCCTTCAGCTGGAGGAGCAGCTGAGTCGTCTGCAGAGAGAGAAGAATGACCTGCAGTCCAGGATGGAGGAGGACCAGGAGGACCTGAACGAGCTGATGAAGAAGCACAAGGCTGCTGTGGCTCAGGTCTGCTGTTCTCCTCTTCATCTGTCATAGAATAACATTAGGACCTGGAAATGACATTAGCCAATTAATGCCTTTAGGCAGCTGTATTATTTTAATAATTAATTAATCACATTTTAAAGTGGAATTATGAAAAGGAATATTTATTACAAATATCATTTTAAAAAGGCTTTTATCTTTTGTTTTTAGACTTTCTAATGTGTCTGTCTGTTATATTCCATCTCACAATGAATTGGTTACTTACTTCTACCTACATTTAAACTTCCAACCATTTCATGACTGCTTAATATAAAGACCTAAAATTGAAATGGAGCTCAACCCACAGAGCAGCCACTGGATTGGCCAATCAAAACTCAGACACACAAGCAACGAAGCACCCTGTTTCAGCTTGAACACATTGAATTACATCTAAAACCAAGCTCAAGCAATACCAAACATTTTTGGAGACTGAAATCAATAGTATAATAACAAAATGATGATATCATTTACTGACTCAAAAAAAAGGATTTCGTTTTAGAGTTAAGTTAGTTCTTTAATGCAAATGAAATAATCCCTTATCAATGTCTCATCCGTGTTCATGCATGTGTGCCCTCAAGCACACGCACGAGATAAACTAAACGGAGACTCACTCATAGAAAAACAGCACATCAATGCAGTTATACAAGATGTCACTCAACAGGGAACCTTTAAGTGATTCCCAAAAACACCCAGTGCAGTATTGATCAGTTCTACAGCTGATACTGTATGTCAGCAATACAACTCAATCATCCATCATGAAACAGATGGAGGAAGTTGACTGGCTGGTGTATGATTTTTAATAAAAAGCAAAGATTTGCCCAACATATCAGAAAGCTGATATTAACGTTAACATTGCCCCAACACACACACACAGACACACACACAGGTTCCACAAATCATGTCAAAAACCATCCCAGGTTCTTTTAAAAAACTCTAATCCCTGTATCAAGCTTTACATGGAATTGATTTAATGCCGTTCATCCCTGCCAATTGAGACATTTTTAAAAAGGTGGTGTTTGGCTAGCTCCCATTAGTATTAATGTAGCTGTACATGCAGATGAACAGCAAGGGGAAATGAAAGTGGAGTAAAAGTGCTTCCTTTCCACTGCTGATGGAATGATGAGTGATGTGCTTCCACCGGCTCCAAATGAATTCATCCTTCCTGTCTAAACTGAAGCGGCTGAATTCCCGGTGGGAGTGGCTGTAGCAGAGTGCTTCATCTACTGTGAAGAAGAGCTCAAATATTTCACACAGGTCACACTGAAATGAGATTCATTGATATGCTTTCACCAGACTCAAAGAATGCTTCCAGCTGATTTATTTTGTCTATGTAATATCACTGTGATGTCATTGTGTTTAAAGGGCTATTTTTTATTGTTTGGAGTTTGATGATTTAGATTTTGTTTTGGGGGATTTTAGCTGCATATATAGTCTGCATACTGTACAATTGATATACTTCTGATGATTTATTCATCATTTGTATGGAATAAAAGAAAAACATGTCTAATATCCATCTAATGTATCATGTTGCTCACTGACTTGCTTCTCTCGTGTGTTTTTGTGGTTTCAGTCGGCCCAGAACCTGGCTCAGATCAGTGACCTGCAGGCCCAGCTGGAGGAGGCCCTCAAGGAGAAGCAGGAGGTTCAGGAGAAGGTAGATGCTGGTTCCCTGCTCTCAACATACCACTGATGTGACAAGGACATACAGTTAACATCTATATTCCATTTAAAATCACAGTTAAACAGGCAGAGAGAGATGTGACGGTGTGAACACTGTCAGCTTTAAAAAGTATTGGTCAGACCAGAGGAGGGGACCAGCAGGACAAGTGAACTGTAATCCAGCCCTAAATTCATTTCACATACATGAAGGGCTCAGTAACCAATTAGAGAATAGCCTTTATAAGTTGATTCTATTAAAATGCAGCAGTGATCTCCCATCCTGCTTGGTCCCTTACCAACTAAACTGACCACAACAATACCAGGCTGTATCATAAAAGAGGGACTGAAATAGATTATTTTCAAAGCAAGTGAGGTATTTAAGTATTTGTGCTGGTTGGTGATAGGGGAACAACTGTAATGAGGGGCTGTAAGAAAGCACCAGCATCATCAGTAACTTAACAGGACTGAGACAGCAGGTCTCAGCTGGGCTCAGCTCTCCTCAGAGGAACTCCTGTGTGGGAGGAAGATGATGGAGAGCTGTGTTTGATAAGTGGATTGAGTCCACATGCTGTCCACACTCACTGAGATCTGAACTCGATGTGAGCCAGATCCAATCTCGTAGCATACAGACTTATCAGTTAATGCCTTCTAGCATGATCAGATGACCATTGTCTATGACTAGCTCTGGCTTTTAGATACTTTAATCCAAAGACTTACCTTTCAAAACCAGCATCATGACTGAAACTCAAAGAGGTTCAAGAACAGGACTGCTATATTTTCCGTGTTATTTTTGAGCTTGTGTTACTTTTCAACCTAGAAAGACAATCATTTGCTGGTTCCAACTCCACAAATGTAAAGAGTTGCTACTTTCCTGCCTTTTCATGATGGTACACTAACTATTTTTGGGTTTTGGTTTTGACTCAAACAGTCTAAGTATGTTGATTGGCCTCTGGGAAATTGAGATGGGTGTTTTTCATGGTTTACAGATAGATACTTACTATTTTTTGCCAAAAGAGCTTGTCAACGTATGCCGGCCTTATGTTATGACACTTTGAGTCTCATAATGCAGGTCCTCCCCCTCTGCTGTAGGGTCCAGAAGAGAATCGCATGTACAGACTTAAAAGCATGAATGTGCAGCGCTGCATCGAACACCTTCCTTTGCCTTTGCGCTGGTCTCTAACAAATACAACCCTTGATGTAATTGATGTGTCATTCAAGCAGGATTGCCACTGCAATATGTGACACAGATGGCCAACTTGGTGTCCCAACTCAGACAAGCAATAATGCTAAACATGCTAGTGCTGTCATCCCCATAATGCCTGCAGCTGCATGAATCTTTTTCTCCGTCCGACACAGCTGTACCTGACAAGGCAAAGATGTCATTAGACCCCCCCATCTATACTGTACAAGGACTATGATGTCCTCTTATGGCCCAAGGTCATAGATTTGCCTAGACCGGTTCTTTGAGGCTTATGTACTGTTGACCTGATGTGCCAAATCTAAACAAAGTTTCAAATATTTAAAATTCATAATGCATCTAATGCTCTACTTTGTGCTTCTCTTGGTTCATGAACAAAATGCAGCAGGGGATGAGATCGCACAGTTTAGTTGGACATTTTGCGTCAATGATAAGTTTGTCATAAGCTCAAGTCACAAGTTTCAACAGCTATTTCGGGTTTAGTGTTATCTGCATAGCTATGAACATTGATAGGTGCTTACAAATGATGACAGTGGTAACATGTAAAGACTGAAGAGTAGTGCACACAGGAAGGAGCCTTGCAGCACTCTCCATGGAATGTCTCCTCTTTGTGATGAAAAGCTTTGCATTCAGACAATAAAAGCTCTGTTTTTATTCTGGCCAATGGGTGTCACTCATAAGTATAGTGACTTAAATATGTGTATGTTTGTGTCGTAGATGCAAGCCCTCCAGAGCCAGCTGGAGTTCCAGGAGCAGTCCATGGTGGAGAAATCCCTCGTCAGCCGGCAGGAGGCCAAGATCCGCGAGCTGGAGACCAAGCTAGAGTTTGAGAAGACCCAGGTCAAACGCCTGGAGGTGAGAGCTTCAGACAGGTGGAGGAGTGCTGGTGTTAGAAGGTGGCTGGTAGAGGGAGCTGCAGCATGTGGAAAACATGCGAAGAGGTGGGAGGGTGAGGTTAGAGAAAGGTCATGATAACATGAACATAAATGGCAGCACACGTACTGCATCTCCAGAACACTTCAGACTACTGCCAGTTAGACCTTCCCCGCTTTACTTTGTCCTCTAGCATTTGTTGTGTGTCATTTTGAAATTATTTTCTGACTTTGCCTGAGACACAAAGCACAAGTGAAGGCTAAAGGTTACCATCTGCACACTCCCAGGGAGAAATTGAAATCCTCTTGCCCACTGATAAAATGACCCAGCGCTCAATTCTGCAGGTTCACTTTAGTAATTACTAGCTGTGCAATGTGCTCACCTCCAGGCACACTCCCTCTGCTCCTTGACCTCCAAAGTCAAAATAACAATATTTATTTATTACATGTGATTTTTCTAGCCTGTGGTGAAGTGTACAGAGTTAGGAAAATACACAGATGCTGCCTTTTGCTTGGCTTTTTATGGCTTCTCACCAGCATTAAAAGCTGCAGTGGGTGAATATTTCAGGTTGCCTGAGTAGTATTACTCATCAAAGCTGGAGGTGGCAGAACTCAATCAATACAGATGTGAAGGGGAACAGTACTACACCCACTCAGTATGTGAAATATGGAAGGGCTGGTGGCTAATGCAGCAGCTAACTCACTGATGAAGTATGCTGCTGGCGTTGATACAGACTGAATACAGACTGACTGCCGATTGAAAGACTTCTATAGGAGTCACCTGTTAAAACACTGCTGAACACAAACATATGAGATGAAAGACTGCTGCACCATTTCAATGCATTATTGATACAAATAAGCTCATCAATTGTTAACATTGTTTTCTGCCTGGGTGCTGTGGAGATGAAGTGTTGGGACTCCATTATTTCAGGAATGTATTGAGTATTTGTTGTGCTTTATGCTCATCTGCTACAGTAGCTTTGTTAAGTTGGTGTGCCATATCAGCAAAGGTTGTTATGCCTCAGTACTGAAGGTTGAACAAGGTCGTTGCTGATCTTTGAGGGCCAAAGTAATAAGGATACTGTAAATATTTAATGTTTAGCCATAGCAGCAGGTTACTACAATCGGAACCAGTTTATTGCCAAGTACGTTTGCACATACAAGGAACTTTATAACAAGAAACAAACAAACAAATTAGGAGTACGTTAAAATAAGTATGAAAAGGCTAGACACACGTGTCTAGAGGCTACCAGGTGCATGAAGTAACAAATAAGTGCAGAGTTATAGAAGGATAGAGACAGAGAGAAGGAACATACTGAGTAAATTCTCTTGGAAGAGGAGGTCATCAAGAGAGGGATTCTGTTGATCCAATGGAGTTGGGGAAGTCAGAGGTTGGATTTGAGATATGTTGCCTCGCAGTGACACCAGGACTAGTCAGCATTTATTTGCAGATGGTCATGAGCTTATGAAGCTGAATGAGGGGATTCAGGTAGGTGGGTGCTCAAGGCCACTCTGTAGGTGAGCATTAGTGACTGCAACTTAATATGAGGAGCAACAGGGAGCCAGTGGAGAGAAAAGAAAAGTGGAGTGACATGAGCCGCCTTTGGCTGGTTGAAGCCCAGACGTGCTGCTGCATTTTGGACCATTTGCAGCAGCTTCACTGAGCATGCTGGCCGCCCGCCAGAAGGGCCTTACAGCAGTCAGGGCACAAGGAGCGGAGCAGCCCATCAGTCAGATAGCACCTGATCTCTCTGATGTAATCTATGAAGTGCAATCAACATGGCTGAGTTACAGATGCAACATGCTCAGTGACTGTCAGTTGGCCATGAATCACAATGCAAACATTTCCAGCAGACTTTGTTAGAGAGAGCAGGGCTCAGCTAATCTACCAGAACTGTGTGCTAGCATGTATTGAATTGGCCACATCAGCAACTTGACAGATGCTGTCGTGTTGTGGACCAGCAAAAGTTGAGCCAGGTTGATATTTTTTGCTGGACCCCTCTGTGTTGGCGCCCTCATTCAAATGGGAACACACTTTTTTTAACGCGTATGTATGTATGTATATACGTATATTATATTATATTATATGGTCTGACCTTGTTGTGGAACCATCTCTCTTTATTGCTGCTCAGACCCTTGTAGCTCGTCTTAAGGAGAACTTGGAGAAGCTGACAGAGGAACGGGACCAACGCAGCAGTAGCGAGAATCGAGAGAAGGAGCAGAACAAACGTCAGCAGAGACAGATCCGTGACGTCAAAGAGGAGATGGGTGAACTGGCCAAAAAGGAAGCCGAGGCCAGCCGCAAAAAACACGAACTGGTAAGCTCACAATCACACAAGTTACTAACAATTAACAATGAGCAAGCAGCACAGTTATTTAAGGAGAGCCTGCATAGAATCCATCAACAAAAAGTCAACCTTTGGTCCTGCTCTGCTGACTCTTGTCTCTTTAACAGGAAATGGACATTGAGAGCTTAGAGGCTGCTAATCAGAGCCTGCAAGCAGACCTCAAGCTGGCCTTCAAAAGGATCGGTGACCTCCAGGCAGCCATCGAGGACGAGATGGAGAGTGACGACAATGAAGACCTGATCAACAGGTACAAACATGAACACATGAGGATGGTTCTGCTGTTAGCGGAGTGAAAATCAGCAGGATGTCCCTCTGAACATATTTGGAAAACATTAATATCATAGTTCCACAAAGTCATTTTCTTGAGCTTCCAGGCCACTTCTCAACGTCTTCATTAGCAGCTCAATGACAACTCACCATCATACCAACTCACCAGAGAATTATTAAGATTATTCCTCTTCAAGTGACCAAATCTCTGGTACAATCCAAAAGTGGTGGGACAGTTTTCATAGCTAATCATTTTATGAATTTGTTGCATTTTCCATCTTTTGTGCAATTCCTCACATTTTAGCACACATTTTGGAGGAGCAGTACCTTGCTCTCAGGATTTTACAGCACCTGACTGACTGTGCATTAAATGTTTAGCTGCCTCTCTGCTCTACTCTCTAAGGGCCATCCTGTGTAACCACTCCTCAATATAAAGTCTCCCTCTGCCATGACGGGATGAATTCTGCTGAGTGAGTGAGTTGAGCAGATCAACATCAGTCTCATGTCTGTTTGTAGAGCAGAGCTGGCACATAGAATTCCTGGAGTCTCGTCATCACAGTGAGGTTGCCTAGTTCAATCGTGTCTGTACGGAGACCAAAGCGACAACTAGCTCACTGTCTGTAACTAGCATCCCACGCTACAGCCCTAGACTCTGCTCAGACAAGCTCAGCTAACACAGAACTGTTGTGTATGGAGGAATTGTCCCAGCACGTAACGCTCCCTAAATCACAGACTGACATTTAGACGTTTCTCTTTGTGTGAGGATTAAACAGTCAGGATTCAACATGTTCATCAGTGAGCTTTAGAGGTGTTGGCAGGTGAATTTATGCTAAGCTAGGGTAAGCACATCCTGACTCTAGTTCTGTATCTAATACACAGATGTGAGGTATCCATTTTAACATGTAACTCTCAGAAAGAAAGCAGATGAGCAGGGGGCGATCTGTGAAAACATCAGAGTGGAAGATGTTTTTAATCATGAAGATAGATTTCAAACCACAGTGGGCCTATAAAGACTATGAAGCCTGTTTAGCTATTTCATACAGCTGTTAAAGTAACGTTTATACAGTCGTTGTGAACTTTAGTAAAACAAATGGAAACCCCTGTTCCATTTACTGAGATGAACAGCAGACTGTCCAGCGTGGAGATGTCCATCATGTAGCCTCGACGCCTCGTCATCTCACCAGCACGAGCTCTGAAAGTTAATGTCCATTCCTCATGTGATTGCTGTTTGCACTCTAGACTGTTCTCACGTTGCACAACTTTACTTAGATACATTTCAAACAGATTTGTATTTGAGGTATTTTCTATCTCTTCTGGTAGAGTAGCATTGATCTCTATGAGGAGAGGATACGAATAGTTCAACACACCCTGCAGATAAGCCTGTTATGTTGAACTGCTCACTTAATGAGAGTTGATTTGTTTTCAGTTGTCGTGTGTCATACTGCCATGTGACCAATGACAAATTCAACCTTCCAATCAAAGCCCTCCAGATAGTGAATGTTCTGGTCATTTGAATGGCCTTCCTCCTCAGATCAACACCCACCTTATATAGACAGCAGTCCTCCAGCTAACCTCTGGTTCAATTCCACAGAGATAAGTAGCACCGTTTGCTACAGCAGAAGTAGACAGCTGTGTGACTTATTAGAACACGCTCTGAAAGGCTTTCTTCTCCTCTGTAGGCAAGACACAAGATCAATAGTAGGTGGCACACGGAGTCGATGCCCCTAAAACCATGATGCGTCCCTTACTGTTTGTCATCACCATGACATACATATTTATTGAGATACGTATAAGCATCATTCACGTTTCATGTATTAGTTTTGACTTGATTCTTATTTCCTGTTTTTTTCTTTTCTATTGTCTTGTTTTTTTCTGTCTTGTCTTTTCTTCTTTGTCCCTCCACCCTTCATCATCACCACCAGTTTGCAAGACATGGTGACAAAGTATCAGAAAAGACAGAACAGAGTGTGAGGAACTTGAACTTTTTTATTTATTTATTTTTGCACCACTGGAAATGATGCAGTATTCTACAGTCTTTGAACATGTAGTCGAGAAGGTGATCGTGGAGAGCCATCACTTCTTGCTGTCACACTGTAGAAAAGAGATAAACTCAAAGGAAAAATCCCCCCTGACAGAAAAAAATAGAAAAGAGATTTGGAATGCACCTGGCATTCCGGGCTAATTTGAATGTTTCGTGATTTTCCTCATCTATTTCAAGACATCAGCTTTTGGTGTCAGGCCCTTAGAATCAAAGAGCGGTGGCTCATTGCAGATGCACACATGGTCAACAATTCAAACAGGAAGAACTGCCTCATGGGAGATACAGTGATACAGTAAATCCAGGGGGGGGGGGGGGGGGTTCCTTTGATGTGTGAAGGCTCGGGGATAATGCATCATCAACAGTGCTCAGAGATTCCCACAACCCCCAGTTTACACCACTCTTGATTGCATGGCCTCACATGCTGAGTTGCATGGCTACCACAATATGTTGCTAAAGCCCCAGCATGAAACAAGCCTCCCTCCTCAGATTGTCTGTGTGGTTAACCGCTTTGAATTGAAAGGCACAAGTGTGCTGATCTCTCTGGTTCATCCCCCTGGAGGCGCAGATCATACTCACAGTTCTCCTTTACGCAGCCGGGGGGGTTACCGTCATGTCAGACACTGCTGTGTTGTGTCTGAACAGCAGTCGGCGACGAGTCAGCCTCTCGCTCCCTGGGCCATCTTAATATTTCATCAGCCCGCTCTGGGGCTGGATGTGACTGTGGCTCGGTAGGACTGCCCTCCTGACAGGAGAAAGAAAGGGTGTGTTCCTCATCAATCTTTGACTCGCCCTTGCTTAATAATGCAGAACCCTCAAATGTCTTACAAAAAGCTGTCTTGCTCACCAGGCGAGTAGCACACACGCAGCGTTAACCTCTGGCTCTCAGCCAGTCCAGTCCCCCGTCTGTAAAGGGATTATTAATCAGAGCTGCAAAGTGCAGCGAGTGTTGTGATTTGTAATGAACTGTTAGCACTGCCACATTTCAATCAAAGGCTCCTCTTTCCTGGTGTTTGGAAAGGAGACAACATACATTTCTATTTCTGTGAAATATAAATTATGTAGCTATACATTTCAATATATTACCATTGATACAGCATAATTCAATTTGTATGAAGCTGCTCTAAAGTACAGAAAGGCTATGATTTTGGCTTAAGATGTCATTGAAATCATATTGGGGTTTATTTCTTCTGTAAAATAGAAGTGTACTCTGTTGAGGACATAGAAGACATTTACACTTTAGATTGTTTGGTTTGATGACAGCACCCTGCGTCTGTGCATAATTCAGTCAGAATATGACGTCCTTTTATAAAGAACGTTAGCTGCAGCTAGGAACAGTATAACATGTTGTTTTTCTATTGATTTAACATATATAAATATTCATTGATGTTTTTTATTTCTTATTATTTGGGACAGTCCCTTAATCATGTCCTGTCCTGTTTGTTCCAAAAATTCAACTAAGCATTAGTATGGCTCCTGTAGCACAATAACCAGCTTAATGTACCTTTAAACGTCAATGTGGGTCAGTTTAGATGCTAAATGTTGTGGTCTTTAACCTTTAACACCAGTGCTAACGACAGCCTGTCCTCGGCTTGTAATTACAGGCTGAATTAGTTTCCTTTGTATTTGTGCCACTACTGGCATAGCTGTTAAACATGTTCTCAGCCCTCTCATTCAAAGGCCTGGTCTAACAGGACATTACTGATGTATCTCTGAAGACCTTCCTTCCAGCTGTTAAGTATTGTGAGAATTTAAAACCAGAATCAGCTTTATTGGCCATGTATGCGTACGCATACAAGGAATTTGACTCTGTTTTTTACGTTGCTCTCATCGTGCATACACAGAATATACAAATAAACAAAACAAATAAAAACAAGGACAACAAAGTAGAACATAAAGCATAAAGTTGTAACTACTATGTACAATATAAATCGCTTTAGCACAGATATTTGACTACACAAATGGATGGCTTTTGTGACTTCATTTGGCTTTCAGTATAGCTAATAAATGACTATTTGAATATGTGCAGTTTATGTTACACCAACCTACCTTTTCATGTGACACTGTGGATGAGAGGTTCCCTGAGCTTATGTTTCCCCGTGGTCTTGGAGACGATGCATATGCCCGTCTGTGCTCCAAAGCCACAGGGACCTCACTGGGCCGACAGTTTCATATATCGGAGGCATACACTGTGGTGTCTATAAGACCCAGGGACACAGAGGAGCAGAGCAGAGCAGGAGGATCCATAGAAGCTAATGATGAATGTAATAGTGTGTAACAGAGATGTACAACCAATGGCGGCAGAATGTCACAGACAATTAATGTCTCCTCGGCACTCTGTTTGTTTGCTTCCCCCAGGCTTTCGGCAGGGCTTAACTAATGGTATGGTGGTCAAGGACATAAATTGTGGTTGACACCATCTGTGAAGTGCGCAATTACATATTGCCCACAATTGTGGTTTTGGCTGTAGACCGGAGAGGTCTCTCTCTATGTGCTCTAACTGTTCCATGAGATTATTACACAGGTAAGAAAGTCTTAGAGAATAATCACACATAATTCCAAACTGTTTTTAATGAACATATCTGCAAAGCATTTACTGTCATTGATTGAATTTATTTTACAACAATATTGTAGCAACTGAAGCTTGATGTCTGTCTCGGGGCAATGAGTTGTAGTATCCTCACCCTAACCACAAGCAGGACACAGAATGCAAAGTCCTGCATTTGTGTGCCCACCATCCTCCCCGACCACTTCATGTCAGTCCACGACATAAGAACCATCCAGGCAGCAATTGAGATTCTTCCGAAACGTATTAGGCACAACCATTTTTAGGAGAAAGAGTTTTGCAGCACTGCTGTAAGTTTCAGGAAACTCGGCAATGTCATTACAATTACAAGATGAAAGAAAAAGTAAACTGCTCTTCCTTCCCCATTTTTATTTCCTCAAGGCAGGAGTTATTTTTAAATCAGTGTCACCAGTGAAGACGAAGGTTAAAAGACTCATTTAAGAAGAGTTGACTAAGAAACCCTTGCGACGCCTTGACTAAAAAGGGTCATATAAGGAAACGTGTCTGCTACCTGACGTCGGAGCATCTTCTCCCCTCATTGAGTGAAGTCTTTTCTGAGAAGTCCACACTGCCAAAGACAAAGACACTTGGCTGCTCTGTCATCATAGCAGTAGGCAGCAGCAAATCTCCAGATTGTCTAATAGTAGAGGCATGTTTTGCAAAGCTAATTACAGCTTAAGAGTCCGTCGCCCCGTCCTTCCTCCCATCCCTCTGTCCCAGAATTACCATCCAAGGTTATTGTATTCCATTAAAGCTAGCACACTATGCATTTGGATCTCACTGGGCAAGCCATTATTTGAAATCTCCTCTTTGAAATCCGGGGAGCTTTTGTCTCTGACTGCTAATGATTTTAATTATAGGTAGCACTGGGCCTTTCAGAGCTCCATGTTTTCTCTCCCTTCCCCGACTAGATTTGAGGCTTTCTGAAACCGATGCAGAGATGTGGCGCCACCCTTCTGATGTCTCTGTAGGACTATTAAGCTGTAACAACTTAATTTCACAGTGCCACACAAGCACTGGGCTTTGACGGCACTTAATGAGTGTTGCGCTCTTTTCATCTGTGTCAAATTTTATGACAAGCCCTCTATTTCACTCCGTGGCTCACAGTGGTTTGTGAATGTGTAATGATAATTGAGAGGAAAAACAGTGCAGTGCCCAGCTGTGTACTAAATCATTCTGTCAAGAAGTGAAATTATGAGTGTATGCATATGACTGCATGTGCGTGTGCAGGACTGGTGATGACAATAATTACCAGAAGAAAGGTATATCTGGACATGTTCTGCCACTTTGCTCTGCAGTTCAGCAGAAACTCTTTTAGGTGGTTTGGATCTAATCTTTATGAGGTATATGCAGTTATTTCCTGATGAACGCTGTTTAGACGGAAACATTGCAGAAATACAAGTATGAAGAGAACCAGCAATAATCAAGCAAGATAACTTTTTGTTTTATTCAAGTCCTGCTGCCTTTCGACACACAGAGATCTACACAGCTCTTAAATGCCCAATGCAAGCCAGGGGCGCTTCATCTGAATGAATTTGTTGCTCTGCTAAAGATAGAACAATGTATGAACTGAGATAATCATACTCCAACAACAGAAATAGAAATACCACATTTGAGTCTATTATGCCAATCATGAGAACATCACTAGAGCAGTATCCCCAAAGATTGCACCATCACACCAAGTCCCATTGTGAAAGCACATTCTATTGAACACATTTCTGAATGCTAATGTAGGAGATGTAGGCACACAACCTTCACACAGTTCGATAATTACTTGAACACATTGTCGCTTTAACCCAGTCACTTACTTGAACATAAAGTTATTACCTAAACCACAATTCCAATTATTTTCTTCTTCACTTTCAAATAAAGTGACAATGACACACAAAAAATGAATGTATAAAAATTCAGCCCTACACACTCTGATAGCCGCTGTCTGAGGTAGTTTAGTTAACAGGACTTTTGAACCAGCTCAGGTATTTGATTGTTGTGCGATGTAAAAGTGTGTCTAGCAGAGATGTCAGTGGTGTACTCTTATCATACCACAGCAGTGTTGGCCAAACCTGCTGTGGTGTTGTTTCTGCCATGGTGCTACTACGGCTTTGGGAGAGCATGATAGTGAAGCACTCATCTAACAGTGACAGTAAGAACCTGCAGTGTGGTGTTTACGCCTATACAACCTCTCGTAGGCATGTTTGTGTGCTTACTGGAGCCTTTTGAGCATGTGCTGTCTTTTATCCCGTATGAATGTCACAATCCTTCTTTGCTTCCACACTAACAGCTTGTTCTCCATTCTCTGTCTCCACAGATACAGAGAATTACAGGAACATTTCTACCAGTGTTGACTCTCCTTTCACACCAACATTTCTTTTCCCCTTTTCTCTCATTTTTCTATTCATAACCTCTTTTGTCATCTCGTCTCTCCTTTGCTTCCTCTGACTTGTTTTCCTGTCTCTGACTCTTACCAGTCAGGGGGATTCAGACACAGACTCTGAGGTGGAGGATCGTGTGGATGGGGTGAAGTCCTGGTTGTCTAAAAGCAAAGGTTCCACCAAGAACCTGTCAGATGATGGCAGCCTCAAGAGCTCCAGGTCAGTACAAAGGCAGCTGCTATTACTGTCACTACAGGAGCAGTTAGGAGGCAGTCTAACTAATGCTACCTTTCACTGCTTTTGGACTCTGGATGAAATGGTTTACGGGATCTGACTCGCAGGAAATAAAGCAATCCCAGTCAGGTACTTGGCTGAAATCAGGGGGCCGCTATTACTTAAATGTATTTTCAAGCTACTTTGTCTTTATTATTGCCTGCTCTTTGAAAAGGGAACTTTTTTTTTCTAAAAACAAACCACCTCTGTGGTAGATTTATTGACATGCCCAAGGGCCAGATGCTATAGTCTACCTGAGCCGCTTGCTGAGATAAATGAATGTGTCTGCCAGCTGACAGCTTCGATTGCCCCAGATTTGTCTCCTTACCAGAAGATTTAACTTCCCTCCCTCAGCTGAGCCACTACCAACTTTAAAAAGTTTTTGAATCTCTCTTAGCAGCATGTCCCCACAGACAAACAGTGGCTGACTAGCCAACACTGCTCCTTGTAGTGGCAGCTTTCAATTTCTAGTAACTTTAATTGCCATTTGCACAAGTACATTGGACTTCTTGGCCAGTTCTCTGTCATTCAACAAAGAATAGATAAAAAAAGGTTTATCAAGTTCAAAATGGTGTCTAAGCTTTGATTGATTTGATTTGATTTTCAGTCAGAGTTCACACATATTATGTCCTTGAAGTTTCTTTAATTCTCACAGGATTCACTGTTTGAGATCAGTAATAAACAGGAAGTACCCTGTTTCAACATTAGACAAAAATATGCAATTTTATGTAAAATATTTCAGTATGTTTCAGCAAGATTACTGGATAATTTCCCACCAGAATGCAAAATGTTTGCCACCACTAATTGAGTTTCAGCACATATAACCTGTGTTTTAACTGGAACACAATGGTTAGTGTTACCCTAAACCTCAACCCTATCAGTCTGGCATATCAAATAGAAATAAAGTAGCACATACTCTTTCTTCTCTGCAAAAATCCATTTTCCTGAGCATATCTTTTGTTCTGTAGAATAGTTGTAGAAACAGATTTAAATATGGGTTTCATGGGTGCTATATAGCTCACCTGATGGAGCACCCATGCACCAAGGCTGAGTCCTTACTGCAGAATCCCACCTGTGGCCCTTTGCTGGATGTTGTCCCCTCTCTATCTCCACTGTCTAGTATCTGTCCTGTTTATATCATAAAGGCAAAATGGCCAAAAAAACATAGGAAAGTAACTTTATATTTAAAAGGCTAAAACTTTGCCTTTCAAGTTCTCAAATCATTTTGATACTTAAAGGTCCAGTGTGTACGATTTGGTGGCATCTAGTAGTGTGGTTGCAGATTGCAACCAACTGAATACCCCTCGACTCACTCCTCCCTTTCCAAGACAACCGCGGTATCTTTTAGGACCTTCGCCTCGTTACTTTAGGAGAAAGGAAATTCAACTGGCGTTATCACGGTTTTGCACTCAGCGGCTCACGTTGCCTCAGTTTCTCAAGTGTGTCAGAGAACTACGGTGGCCTTCAGGTAACGTAAAAATGCAAAAGTCTCTCTAGAGCTAGTGTTTGGTTTTTCCCTTCTGGACTGCTGTAGAAACATGGTCGTGCAACATGGCGGGCTCCGTGAAGATCTAAATATAAACGACTTTTTGTAAGGTAACAAAGACAAAAAGATTCTTAGTTTCAGGTGGATATACACTTATCAAAACATAGTTATGAATATTATATTCCATTTCTGCCAATAAGTCCCCTGGAATCTTACGTGTCTGCTTTAGGCTAATGCCATAATGTGGCATTATGGCAACAAAACATTCATATAGCCATTTAGCCTAAAGCAGACACGTAAGATTCCACGGGCCAATCAGCCAAAACATTTAGATTGCTTTAAAGTGGGTTTGTAGGGGATTGAAGTCATGATTTTTCCCATTCTGATCATTACTGTGGTCTTCATCTGTTCTTGGTGCCTTGTCAGTTGTCTCAAGTTGCATTCTCCTAATCTCTTTTTTTTCATTGCTTTACTTTACATCATTTTGCTGAATTTCATGACATTTCTGTTTTTATTTGTCAAGTTTAATTTATTTTTTTCTTATTCTCTTCCTTCACTCACCTTCACTTGACCCAATACCTCATCTTTGTCATTTTCTCTCCCACTGTCTTCATTCCTTCATCCTCCACTGTTGCTTCTTTCTAGATTTGCTGTAAATGTAGACGCAAAGGAAGGGAAAGAGTGGAACGAGGGTAAGGAATGGCAAGAGGTAAATAAAGAGGGCAAAGAGGTCGAGCCGAGCAGAATGTCAGTGATGAGCTCTCTCAGCTACAGAAAACGCTCCAACCTTAATCCCATCAGTGGCAAAGGGGATGCCCTCTTTAGTGCCCTCAAGGAGAATGCAGAGTCAGAAGAGGCTCTGTCCCTGCATAAGGCTAAATCCAAAAACTCAGATCTTCAGCATGATACCTACTCAGTCAGCTCCAGGAGGAAGTCCCAGGCAGGGAATGACATGAATGACAGAGAATCAGTCATCTCCCAGGCCTATTCAGAGGCCAACAGCCGGGCCAGGAAAGGTATGGACAGCCGCTGGACTGACTTTGACAAAGAATCAGTCATTTCATACACTGCACCAAGTCGGGCCTCCACACGTCTTGGGTTAAGCCCAGAGAATGACGCCAAGTCTACCATAAGCTTAGGTCTGTCAAGCCCGCTTGGACGCCACCAAAGCACCTCACGCTTAGATGAGGGCAGAGGCGGGCGGTCACTGTATGGCAGCAGTCCCAGTAGCCCCTGCTTTAGCAGACGGTCTGGGGGGCGCAGTCCTGGAAGTGTTAGCCGAGCTGATTCCCATATGTCGCTGGCACGCAGCTGCCGCCTGAGCGAGTTTGATGTTAATATTGATGATAGTCGTAGTGTGGCCTTCACCGAGAGGTCGGCGTACAGTCCTCACTCCTCCACTGGCCGCAGCATCTCCATGCCACCACCACAAGCCAGATCATCAACTGCTGATAATGACCCAATTGACAATACCCAATTGGACATCAAACCAGTCAGTCATCGCAACTACCTCGACCCTGACCTGGAGAAAGCCATCAATGAGGTGCTGAGTTTCAAACCAATCAAATTTAAGCGCAGGTGCTTGGAAGACTCCGATGGTGAAGAAGAAAAATCTAAGAATGATAAAGACGACAGCAAAAGTATCCGTAATGGAGATGGTAGTTGCCCTGTCAGCAGTCTTAGGCGCTCTGCATCCGCAGTGGATTGCATGAGACCGTCCCGCAGCAACAGCAGCTGCAGCAGTCGCCATCACAGTAAGAGCAAAGCCAAGAGCAAGAAGAAGAAGAGAAGCCATAGCTCAGAGTCTGACAGCTCAGGAGACGACCACCGTCACAGGAGCAGCTCCAAGAGGAGGTCCAAGAAGTCCAAGAAAAAGTCCAAGAAGAGGGACAAATCTCCGTCTTCTTCCTCGTCTTGTTCGTCTTCAGGTTCCGAGTCGGACTCTGGGTCAAGTTCCGGGGCTTCAACCATTTCCTACCGAAGCTCCAGCAGTGTAAAGAGAGCCCCTGATCGAAAGGTGTCCAGTCCTGAAAGCGAAAGAGAAGCGAGGCCACAGAGTGAGAGGCAGCCCCTTGACAACAAGGATGACAAGAAGAGGAAGAAGAGGGTGGACAACCTGATGATGAAGTACCTGTACCGGCCGGACAGTGACTGAGGCAGGCAGTAGGTGGTTGCCTGGACTGGACTTACCTTGAAGAGTGTTTTTGAAGCATGATGTGACCTAACCAATCAAAGACTATTTAACTCTTGTCAATCAGCACATTCAATGTTCTCCATTCAGTCTGAATGGGATTAGACATTTACAGTTTAGAATTGTAGTTTCTGGGGTACATTTTGGATGATGTGTCTTGGGCATGCTAACAATGTTTGATGTTTACTACTACCCCCTCTGTGGCTGTCTTTGCACTGGTGTAGTAAGGCTTTCATTGGGGACTCTTAAGGAGCTGGGTAGTGTAGTTGGTCAGAAGCTGCACTCAATATGAATGTTAAGTCAGCTTTTAATCACTACCGAGATATCACTGAAATGTATAGCCCCAGACCGGCCAAAATAACAGGAATTAAATAAGAGAGGCCATAATACATTTCTCCTTCCAGGCCCGTAAGTGCAGGTATAATTAGACCCCAAGCATTGATTCAAAAGAATTAGCAAATTCATTTGAGATGCACAGTTGACAGTAATTAACCCCCAGAATGCAATGTTTAAGCCATTTGAATGCTTTTTCTTGCTCATTATAGTCATTGGAGATGATATTTTTTTCAGCTGATTCACATGACAACTGTAACATTATGAGAGGATGGAATCACATCCGTCGCAGTGCTTTGCATTTGGTATTTGAATGGCATTGATTCAGTCCCTTAGTAACAATAATAACACAAACCCGTTTGGCATGCTAGTGTTGTATCACATTGCAGACTTTTTGTGTCCACTAGACGTGAAGGCATCTCACCTCACAACATGCACAGCTAGCTTGTGCTGGTTATGGGAGCTCAACACAAGAACACAAAGCAGATAGACAAAACACAAGCTAATGAAGACAACCTCATCACCACACAACCTGTCAAGTGTAGAAAAACCCTGTGAATATAGAAAACACAAGCAAATGAGAACTATTCATGATCAGACAAAAATACAGAAACCCTGCAAGTAGTACACAAGGAATGTGATGTACAACACAACCAGGAACTCCTTAAAAGAAATGAACTAGTAGATGGTGACGGGCTAATGTTAGGTGTGCTTATATCTCTAATAACATCACATTGACACAATAAGAGCCTGAAAACTAAGATTAGCTCATCTTCAATTCAACTAACAAGTGGTTGAATTGAACAAATTGTGTGTTTGGGCTTTTAGTGGCCCCTGGACACTTGTGTTGTAATGTAGTTCCATCGTCGTGTACGACTTGCAGTGTTTCTGTATTTGATGGCATTTTATATATTTGCCCATGAGGAATGTTGACAATACAAACTCACAGGATGGCAGCCAATGTTCTGAGCAACCTTCTCTGTGGGAGAACAACAATGTCACAGAAGAAACCTTGATTTACTCAGAGAAGAAAGAAACTCAACTCTTTGAAAGCAAACATGGTCACTCACGAGCACTGCTCAGGCAGTGTGCTTAGTGCTGCTCCTGGCGGCTGGACGATGTATTGCAGCGATGCTACACATTAATACGATAGTCATATTCATAAACAGTATGTCAAGCTTTCTCGGCCCGAATAAATTGTTTCTATTGATACTTTACATCTGCCTCATGTTTACCCTGCCTGCTACTGTAGGCCATTAGGAAGAGTGTCTTCCTCAGTTTGTATTCTCAGTATTTATTCTCAATGCAGCGTTTGTGTTGTGATGATGATGATTTCTACATTTGCTTGTGTTTTATTACATTGCAGTGCATTGAGCTCTGTTAGACACCGTACTGTTCTCGGCTCATGTTCTCTTGTACTTGTTCTCTCCTGCTCCAGCCCCCCTGGCCGGAGACACTACTGCTTCAATAGATCTGATGAAGAGGAGGAGGAGGAAGAAAAAGAAGAAGGCGGGGCGACCCAGGGCTCTTTCTACTCTTGATACAGACATGGAAGCCAAATAAAAGAGGACGACAGCGAGGACAGGCCTTATGAGACCACGCTCTCTGAAATGTGCCCTCATTACTCCGTGACAGTTTGTCTTGCATGCAAAGTTGACCACAATTGTGGTGAGTTGGACACAACCACACAATAACTCACAACCCTGCAGGAAAACATGTTCCCAACACTCGGTTAGAGCTTCCTATTGCAGATCCTCACAGGATTTGGTCATATTTGACAAACTAAATGGTGTTTAGCCTCTCATTATTCACTTCACACACACGCAGCAGCTCTGTTATTAACAACTCCACGTGCCGCTGGTTGCATGCAAGCAGCATTTGCTTGGCTTTGAGCAGCCGCCCTGTATGGTTGTAACTGAGCCAAAGAACTTGGAGGTTGCAATGATGATATATTCTTTCTGCCTCTCTTTGTCTGTATCACTCTCCCGCTCTTCTCTACATATAGTACACCACAATAAGTACTGCCATAGTACAATGTATTGCCAAAAAGCCTTTGTTGAAGGGCGTGTGCACACTGCTTTACTTATTGCCAATTGATGCTGAGTCCTGAGAAAGGTCCCATCCTTATTTCTTTCCTTTTTCCTGCTTCTTTCCATTTCGGGACAAGTGCCATTTGATTTAAGTGGTCTCCTCTACAGCTGGCTCCTCTGCAGCTGTGGCATTTCGTGAACTGCACTAAGGGCACGCTCATCATCTGTTCACTTTTTGTTTCCCTGAAAAGATGTTCTTCTTTACAGTGGAGAGTGATTGCATCACTTACATAACAGCAAAGCATTTTTCTCCATTTGAATATTTTGTTTTTGATGTGCGATAGATTTGTTTCTGCAGAGGATGGCCGTCGGGCAAATTAATTGCCATGAGGTTTGAGCTTACCTCTGCAAAAGGCCTTGTTCTTCTTTTCATTTGACTTGATTTGACTAAGTTCTTGCCCAAATTCTTTAGTGAGGAAGACACTTTGTCACGGCTTTGTCCTCCTTGTGCTTGTTGTTCACATGTCGCCTGTGTTTGTTTTACGTTTGATGTGCTTTCCTTTCCAGAGGGAATGTACTTGACTTTGAGCATCAGTCACATGTATGGTATCTTCAACCAGCATGTCCAAGGAAAAACTGGTGCTGTTCAATATTTCTCTTTTTGTCAGCCAATCACATGAAAGGACCAAACCCACCAGAGTTTTCTTGACCTTTGGGAAAAGTGTGTGTACGAAATATCCTAAGCTCAAAGGTCCACTTGATATGTTTTCAGGAGCTTTCACATCTCTTGGTCTTCTTCATAAAATGAAGCTAGCGCAGTTGTTAGCCAATCGGTTCATACTGAAGACTACTAAGTCTTTAAATATGGCTGATGGATATCTTATTAGATATTTTTAAAAGTCACTTTTTTCCATCCATAGAGTAAAACCCAAAGCTTCTACACTTTACTTCTCTGAGGGTTTTGTGTCATGATTATTTGCTTAGCACGGTTTGATGCTAGCAACATGAGCATTAGCCTAGCTAGCATGGAGAGCATGTTAGCTAACAGAGAGCACTGACAATTTATCATTGAAACAAATCATTATGGATTTTATACCAGATTCTTTTTCCCCATGTACCACATATTTTGAATAAAAGTGACTATGATAGCTTCTCAGCACCATCGGGAGGATTTGCTATTGGTCAATGATGCAAATTTAAATGTCAAAAATCTCCAAAGTTGAATGCGAACTGTGCAGACAGATCCTCTGATTGGAGTGATCTTGTTGACATGAATTGATCTCTGCTTGGATTCATATCTTTTCATGGGTTATGATGATATTGTAAGAAAAGTGTAGAATATCACCAGCATCTCCTTTAAAGCCTCATTGTGAACTTTAACTGTATCTTTGTCAACTGGACGCACTACAGCCTATATAACCAATACTGTGAAATCATCTTCAATGTCTTTGAGGCCTGTTTATTTATCAGGTTTCTTTTTTTTCAACCCAATGATGCCTCGAAACAGCAAGAAAATAGGAAGCTGCATTTTCATGGTTGCTTAAGTGTCACACCCTCTGGTCATCATGTTTTTGAAAGCCATTTAAAGTCCAGGAGAGCTTGACGTGGCATTCAGGGCTGAAAACAAAGTGCAGACCTTCGTCATTGTGGGAGTAGTTGGGTGTTATTCTACTATACATGCTTTTTGTAGACTTGTGTCTTCATCTTTATTCTCTATGCAGTCAACACAAGTGTGGAAATGTGTTTTTTGACCTTATTGACCCTGATAACAGTGTCTTGCTTCAACAGAATAAAAACAAAAGAGCAGGCGTAATATTGCTGACTGCACAACGTATTTATATATAAATATGTGAATGATTGATGCTAGCTTTGAAAATAGTTCATGTTTATTTTCATTATTGAACAAATTGACCACTTGTTATACATTTTGCATTACAGTTTAATATATTGTAAATAAATGATGGTGATTGTTTGTAGACTGGATTTGTCTGCGTTGACGTGTTTTGCTGCTGTGTGTCTTCAGGTCCGGTCTCTCCATTCACACTTGCATGTGCTTTTGTTCTAAGATTTCCACAAGGCATGCAGATAAAACCAAAGTGAAACCGTGTTGTTTCCTGATTCATTCGCTTTGGTGTTTTCATCTGCTCTGACAAATGTCAACAGCAGCATTGACCCTGTGAACGCCTTAAAGCCACACAAAGCCCACTCATTTCATTATTTATTTCATTTGTTTTTTAATTCAGGGGAAAGTGAATATTGTCTGCTCAAAGCTGAACTATAAGAACTAATAGCTCTCCAGAAATCATTATATTCAGCTGAAGGCAGCAAGATATGTGAAATCCAGTTTCATGATGAGAAGATGAGTCAGTCAGTAAACTCAGACTTTCATTTCAAAAGCACACAACATCTTACCTCAACAACCCGACTCGTCTGACCTCTGTGGTCTCTGTATATCCACAGATGAAATCAAGTAATCCTGACTTGTTAAAGAGGATTGGTGGTGACAGCTCACCATATGAGGAGACGATGGCTCATGAATTCATACCATAAATTCTGTATCCTACAAAATATGTTTTCTCTTGAAGACTTCACCCAGAGGAAGGTTGATGCAACTTCTCTGCTTCGTTCCTTGAGGTTCCCTGTCTGCAGGTTTTAGTCACGCTAGCAGCGAGCTAATCTTAGTCTACCGGTCGCTCCGCCACCTTCAGATTAAGACTAATGATTTTGCTGATCCCCTGACTTTTGTTTGAGAGCCACCTTGAGGTTGACAACTATTGGATGGACTGCCATGAAATGACATTCAGGTTGCCCTCATTTTGATAATATTCCCTGACTTCTCATCCAGCGCCATCATCATATTATTGATAATGTAGATTCTCTCAATGATAATATTTCTCTTTTCAAACTCTTGCTTGTAAAGTCTAAAGAAGTGGTGTTTATGGAAACAAACTATGGTTTAAGTATTATTGTATGCAGGTCTGTGATGTAATGCAAATCTGAAGTTTTACACACCTATTCACCATTCTGATGTCCACGTTTCTGTCTACATTTGGACACACTACGTCCCTCTCTAGTAAACGTTGGCATTGGATGTAAATCATGAAAACAAGGGCAAAACTTTGATTAATCTCTTGTAAAGAATGAAAGACATGTATGTGATCATGTAATATGTATGTGATCATGTAATACCAGTGAGACATATCTGACCAGCCAACATGTGTCACACAACATGTTCTCTCTCCTAAAGAGTGAAATAACACAACTTGGTCAGTGCTCCTCGGCGTCTGACACCGACGCTCATTTAGTTTGTGGATGCAACGCACAGCATTATGGGTAACTGACGTAGTTTAAAGAGAGAGATGGTACACACACACACATAGGGTGGCTCATTCCCAACAGCAGCTTGCTTTCCCATTTACAGCCATCTCGAAGCTGCAGGTATGTGCTCTTCCTATGCAACGTGTGTGGCATTGTCAAACACGATTAAGCATGTCCGATGGCTAATGTGCACTGGCATCAGACTTGCACAATAACAACACAAACTTGTGTACTTTTATATCCTACTGCGTGGTCGCGCTTACACAGTTTGTCCTGCAAAGCCATCACCTGGACTGTTGGAAAGTGTGACACTGGAAACACTGTTCACACAGGTAAAGGGGAAATGAGAACCGTAGCTCTCGTCACTGAAAGCCCTCATCCACTCCCACCAACCCTCCCCTGTCCCCTCAGCCAATAACAGGAGCGCATGCATACAGCAGGCCTGTAACTGTACGTAAAAGCTCCATACATTGATGCAGAAAAATTCAATTCACCAGGATGCAGGAAATACAGTGTTTGATGCTCTGAATCTCCTGGGGGAGGACCTCCATCCCCCTCATAATTGGTGAAGAGAAATAAAAAATAAAATGTTTCAAATAATTCTAAAAAATGAAAAGTGGTCTGGCATATTTATTATAAAAACAATCCTTTGAGAAGGAGATCGTTTGGAGTTCACCAAAAGGCACGAGGGAGACTCCAAAGGTTTGTCTTGTTTTTTTCTTGAAGCAAAGTCTTTTTTTCTGGCCATTCTCCATAAAGCTGCTCTGTGAGTTACGTCCTTTAGACGGACACTGCAGCCTTCAGCTCCTTCAGGCTTATCTGTCCTCCTCTTGGCAGGTTTCTTGTTTTGCAACATTCTTTCCATTTTGTTATAATGGATTTATTGCTTTGTTAGGTCATGTGACAGATCATGTGACGCTTATATTGCACACAGATGGTCTTTATTTAAGTAATTCGGTGACTTCTGGAGGTAATTAGTAGCACCACATCTTATTTAGGGGCGAATACATACATTCTCAACACATTTGTGTAGGTCCATTACACAAAATCCAAATAAACACCAAGGGGGATGAATACTTTTGAAAGGCTCTGTAAAGTTGTCAAATATTCTGCCAATTCAGAGAAAATGGTCATATATCAAAATACATCCCATAATGACTGAAGGACACGCTGTCCACCTCTTTAAAACTATCTTCCTGTGAGTGTGTTGTCTACAGACAGAATGTCAGAGAGGCCACACTGTGAATCCTCAAACATTAAGAGCTCAAAGTGTCCTTGAAGGACAGCAGAGTGAGACCTAAGATGTAATCTGTCTTTGCTGATCAATATTCAATCTAATATTTTCAAATGTGTGAGGAATGTTCTCTGCATTTCATCTTTCATTGAACTTCTGACTTTAGAGAGCAGAGAAAGTCCTTCAGATATGAGCAGAAAGATATTTTGACACTTTACCTGCATCAGAACATGTTTAGGGCAGATATGATATGGTCTGTCAGCGGGATATTAAAAGTCCTGAGGCCAGGAGCTCAAATTCACCTCATACAAGTCATTTGTGTAAATTCATATTAAACACGTAAAATCTCCACATTAACAGAAACAAGACTGAGTGGAGCTTCATGATAGCTACAGCACTGTTCTCAGCTTGGTCTCCAAGTATTCGTTAGAGACTGATATTGATAGCACAGGGTTTTTAAAATCCCATTAAGACAAAGAAGTGTAATCCCAAAAAAAGAATATGTATATTTCTTATTTTAAAGAGAAGCTAGGATTTTGATATTCAGTACAGTCTGAGGTTCACTAGATTGACGTTATCTATAACCTGCAGCTTGAAGGCACTTCATTAACTTCAGCTCACACATTTATATACTTAATATCACATTAACATCACATCACATTTATACCGGGCTACTTTCAAGCAGTTTACTACACCATCAGGTAATTAGCAATAGCTGCAGCAGTAGGTGGCCTTAGAGGTGGTGAGAATTAATGCACAAAAATCATAAATAATGAGGAAAAAAACACCAGACCTCCATTAGAAACCAGTTCATCTAAATGCATCTGGCTCATGAATTCAAATAAATATTAAATTATTCTTTCATACTGGAATAATACACTTGGATACTTGGAATTAATGAAGCATCTATTGTCAGCAAATAGTAAATAAATTCTCCTCTCTAACATATTGGGAAAATGCATAGGGGTTGGGAGGTTGGTCTCATGCAGTGTTCTCTTCACGGGTCAAATACGTTTTGCTCTTCATCTGCGGCTCCCCGCCTGCAGTATAGTCCCACTGACAAGCGAAAGCCAGCAGGAAGCAACCAGAGGCGAGGTCAGATCATCTGTGGAGCTGGTAAGTGATAGTGAATTCTCCCTCACTGTGGCTCTGCTAGAAGGAAACATCCTCTTAACAGCAGGCAGGCGGCTGCTCAGCTCAGCGGCTCAGAATGTCAAAAGTTGCTATGCTGCCTCAGCACTTCCAGGACGGGGAAATGGCAATTTCAGGCAATTCTCTCGGGGCTTAATGCCTTATATTTCACTTCTGTCTGGAAATACAAAAACTCCCCTTCCTTAAACAGCCACAGCCGTTCTCTGTTTGAATTAGTTTAAGAATGAAACATAAATTATTCCAATCCATCTTCTTCCTCAGGCCTGTTTTCCTAGAACTCCCTCTCTGACTGGTGAAAGATTGCAGATTACTGTCTGCAACCTTTGTACCTTCTTAATCAAAACTACTTGAGGCCATTCAGTATTCATGAGCTGAATGATGGAAATTGGCCTTTCAGCCACTATAGCACATCTCTGCTGAGGGAGAGGAGAGACGAACTGAGATGATGGAAGCAGGGAGCAATGGTAAGGTGAGCATACCTTTCCCCCAGAGACAGACAGTGACAAGAAGATGCTGTAAAAACATGCAATGCCTTCAATGTGTTCTCCTGGCTGCCTTGCAACATAGCTCATTACCCTTCCAAATATGGCAGCTGTTTCCCTCTTTGGCTGACAGTCCATCTTGTTTCTGGGCTAACTTGCAGTCGTTACTCTGACCTTGTGTCAAGCAAACGGCTGACAGCCCCTCTGAACTGTCATCTGCTTTGGAGGGCGAGTTGCGTGATACTGATTATTCTTCTCTAAGAGGCAGGAGACCGTGAGAAAACAGCCGACCTGAAGGCCTGAGGTCATCGCCCGCAGCGGGGCAGGAACCCTGAATGATGCACTGGGCCCAGAGCAGGTTTCAGCGGTTGGGGATTGAAGGGTTGTTGTAGCTCTACCTCCTTAATATTGATATTGATATACCAATGTTTTTATTGTGATTACAACTTGACAAGATGACAAGTTATATTTTTGTGGTGCTTTTACTGGCAAGCTATACATACTATACTATGATTTTTAATGACTTTTATTACATACTATCCTGTGCCTTTTGTCATGATTTTATTAATGACATTTTATGACTATATTGCCATGTTTTATGAAATACTGTACTACAATACTGATAGGGTTTTTATGGCATACAATACTATTACTCTTTTAAGACATGTTCATGACACACAATACTTAGACTTTTTTACGATATGCTTCACTATGACTTTCATTACATACCGAATTGTGAATTTTTATATTTTAAAATATTGTGATTTTTTATATATTATATACTAGACGATAGACTA